CATGGGTGACAGCAGTTTTGAGGGGGTTAAGTGGTTGAGAGTTCCTGGTTTCAGTCTGATGTCTCAATGGAGATATTTTCTGGGGTTTTCTGCGTGTGTTTTTTTTTTTTTTTTTTCCTGCCGCTATTGTAGCATTGTCAGCCAGAGAAATCTCATAGTATCCGCATGTGCTCTTGCAGTCTGCATGTCTCCTTTCAGGGTCTGGCTGCTGCGACTGCTTTAATGGATGGATGATGCAACTCCCCTTTCCTCTCTCTACCAGGCGGCAGTGTGTGTGTGTATGTGTGTGTGTGTGTGTGTGTGTGTGTGTGTGTGTGTGTGTGTGTGAGAGTGTGTGTGTTTTAGAGCAAGTGAGAGAGAGACATAGAGAGGGGGATGTCGCTGAATGAAGCTTAGCCTGGATGTTTGCCCTGCAGGGTGGGTGGTTGCTAGGCAATGGCAGTGTGTTTGTTTTATTTTTAGAGAGAATCACTGCTGGTGAACATAACAGATTTCTCTTTGTCTCACACACATATGTGAACACACTTTCTTACCATACATGAACATATAGGCTACTTGTAAGTGGCATTGGCTGCTGGTGAGAGCTGTGTAGAGGGAATCCTGTTGATACAATCATGTAGCAGAAAAGCAATAGAAATGTGAATGGCGTGGCCCACTGCCCCACCCTGGACATGAAATCTAAACCGGCCTGGCGTATTTATAGAGCGTCTTTTTCTCGCACATAGTCTATGACACTGCACACATGCGCAGAGCACACACACACACATACACGTTCCTCTGAAACCAGCTGTAGTCACTCCTCGTATGTACCAGCCTTTTTTGGGCACATGCCTGTCATGCCGTGTGTGTGCTCATGTGGGAGGTAAATGCAGAGCGAGAAATCAATATGTTGAAAAAAAGACGTGCTCAGGGCGCTTTCGATTTTTATCGCTTTTTATTGATTTCAAGATCTCATGAGTGCTACACCAGCCGAACAATACATACTGTAAGTAGCTCCATACTGCAGCAGTTGCTGACATTTAGGTCAAAATTGATTAGGATGATGGGAAAATATAGTGCAGGTCAAAACTGCCAAAGATATGGCGAAAGGCGGTTAAGCATGAGGTGCTGCGAGTGTGTTCAGGTACAGTTTTTAGTCAATACGAACAAAAATGTCTGATGTAATGATAAGATAAGATAATATCTTCTAAAAAATAAAGACATCACTCTTGCAATTTTTAATACCTTTTCATGTCGCTGATTAGAATATTCCTATGTTAAATTTCCTTCTGAATACTACAGCAGCAGTCAGGCTTGTTGGGGCTGATATTGGTCACACTTTCATTCAGATCACCTATTATACAATTTTTTTTTTACAAACATTTCCACATTAGAGGTCTTGGAAAAGACTCTCATTCTCATTTGAAGTGTGACCTGTGTTATTTTCAAATCTGATTCGACCAAAATATTACATCGACAATAATACATTCTTAAGGAATTGTGAAGTTTTGGGCTGATACTGATGATTTTTTGTTGTTGTTGATTTTGTTTTTGTTGTTAATTATTCCCCCTTTGGTGCCAGGGAAACAAAGATATCCTAATTTTAAAAACTCATAATCTTTGAGCAAGCACAAATTCAACCATACAAATCTATGGAACAATCTTTAAGGAAACCTTCTTTCTCATAAAAAAACATATTCAAAAATGGCTTCAGAAGCGTTTTTACGCTTATGTAATTCCTTCTCAAATATCTATTTTATATTGTTGTGAAAACAACAAATTTCTCCTTTTAAACAACTGTAATTCTTCAAGTCTCTCACCAAATACTAAATTTTACAGTTTTACATTTTAATATATCATGATGATGTCATAATTTACCTTCGCTCAATACTTATTTTTAACTAATAGAGCTTGAATGCATCGTAATGTAACTCTGCCAGCATTCTCCTCGTGCCAATTTCAACATGGATTTTGTCGCTCACAGTGTAGCATTATCAGGGCAAAAACAGGGTCGTCTCCTGGCGCTACGATGATGAATTTACTGTGTCCTTTCATCTCAAAGGCGTCCTGAAGGGGGGATCACTTTTAACCAAACATATCCATTAGCTGTGTTAGCTTATCACTTGCAACAGAAAAACGCAGTGTTGTCCAGTAAAGAGTTCAACCTGGCTCAGCTACCAGGACAAGACAAATTAATTCCCATTCAGCTCCTTGCAGGTGAGAATTTCACACCCTGCTGATTCACTAATGTCACACTCTGTATTCTGCCAACAAGTTAGCTAATAGTATTAGTTACCTTGTGTTCAGAGTGAAAGAGGCTCTGTGTGCTCAAAGAAGCTTTAACGCTGCAGTGTAATCCTCAGCTCTGTGGTTCCTCCTCTGCTATCTTTGTCTTGTTGTCAGGATCTCTGGCTCTCACCATCCATTGAGTAATTAAAAGCACTCTGTAATCACAGTGTGAAGCAGCCTACTGAACTACTGACACCAAGAACTGCTCATTTACGGAGGGATTTATTGTGTCAAGGATATTATTATAAACTATAAAAGATTACGTGATCTGACAAAAGAGGTCAGTTTTGCTTCACTCACATTTGTAATGCTTTAGGCCCCGATCTCACAAAAAGCATTCTGTAGGTTGCAAAACGTGAGGCGCACCACACTGCCTTTTTTTTATTCCAATTGAATGCCACTAGCGAGAAAAAAATGCTTGCTGCGCCTTTTTGTTGTTGCTAGGTAACCACTGACTCACCTCCTTATTCTAACCTTCCCGTGTGATCAATCTACCGTTTATTTATTTTCGTTATTTGACAGTAATCAGTATCTAGCTCCTGACATGTTGAGGCAGAGGGTACTTGCTGTAGCTCTGGTTGAGGGTGAGAGGCTGTCAGTAAATAGTTTGTTGGGCACAGGGAAACAGAGATCTGTGTGGGTACATGAGACCCTAAAAAAGAGGGTGGATCATGGGGAGTACCATCAGTTGGTCCAGGAGCTTCTCCTCCATGATGGATGTTTCCAGGCATATTTTAGGATGACTCAGGGGCAGTTTGACAACCTGCTGTGTATCACTGGGCCGTATAGCTCTGGGTATCCAGCAACTGCTACTGCAGTTTCTCCTCCATTGTTTACCAACTGTAAACTTGTTGTCATGACCACAGAAGGCCCGCCTCTCAATTATCTGATTGGACAATGGGAAGAAAGAGTTTTTCAGCTCTGAGTTGTAGTTTTCTCAACTCGAGGAGCTCAGAGCGCTCCGGCAAAAATGCCTGGCACTTAGAGTGCAGAAGCACGAGGCATGTCGGAATGCTAAAACCGTGAGGAAAAAGTTTGTCATTAAAATAAAATACAAAAAGCCACTTCCGGCTGCTAAAACGCTTTCTGTGTGATCAGGGCCTAAAACGTTAAATGCAAAAATAACCCGGGGCACTAAATTATGATGGGCAACAAAAATTTGTATAAGATATGTTAGAAATAGTCAACAAAATTATGGATTTTGTCTATGTTGCGTATTAATTCAATTTATATAGTTCATGAACACAAACAAAGTCAAGTTAACTAAAGTGTTATTGTAATGCTTTCTTCCTTTCTTCTCAGAGTTCTTATTTATACTATCACATTAACTACAGCTATGATAAGGTTTCTTACTTTTTATGTGAAAGTTGATCAACTTGTTATGACCTGCTGGAATTTGAAATTTAAAGTCTATAAGCAAACAGACTGTTTATCTGCAGTCTAGAGACGCAGCCGACCCTTTATAAGCCATTAGACCTTTGAGCTAGTTTGCCTTGTTGTCCAGCACCAGTCCAGTTGACCTGTCATTAAACAAGATTAAGCCAGTGTAATGTTGTTGTTTGGTGGAGGACACTGGTGAGCAAAGCCGTCCTGAGTGGACAGTAATGACACCAAAGCCCCTGAAAAACACTGTGTTGAAGTATTTTTGGTAAAGTAACTAACAAAGTCAAGGCTGGTTGTGGTCTTTGTACAAATTTGAATTCATCCAAATGACATTCATTTCAAATTCATTTCATCTTGATTTTTGGTAAGTGACAGCCCTACTAATGACATCAACTAACCACATTTTTAAATATCTGAAAATGTGAGAATTTATATAACTTTTATTCTGATTATAGCCCGACTGATACAGAATTTTGAGGCTGAAAAATGTCGACGTATTGAGTTTATATTTTTCAAGGTGTACCATTCATTTAGAGCACTGATGAAATATATATATAGATATACTGTTTGGTTATTTATAGCACCACATTTTCGGAGCGCAGAGCGGACTCTGGGCACAGACGGAGCATCAGATCGTCAGGCGCAGTTTATTGCGTTTGCTCTTAAAGTTTGCTTTCACTCGCCTCTGAAGCAGCTGCTCTTATCATCTATCAATCTGATCTGATCAGCTCTGGTTGGATCAACTAATGAATTATCCACCTCACGACTCAAACTGCTGAGGGGAAAAAAAAAACAAAATTCATGTTGCGTCGTGTTGTATTCATGGACCTGCAAAATCCTCAGAAGTTAGAGAGGGGACACATAATGATACACAGGAAAACACACAGACAAAAAACATGAATGAAGAAATTAACAAAAAAAAACAATTAAAACATTTTGTCTGAAGTTTGAAATAATTTATTTAATTTCTTTGGATATAGGCTGTTCACTGTTTGGGGTCTAAGTGACTGCTATAACCTATTTACCTATTAAAGCAGAAAGACATAGGAATTGTACAGCTAATATGCACTCCTCAGTATTTAATGTATCTTAAATCACCTCTTCATCACAATATTAAAGAAGGTTATCACACATTGCAGATTTTCCTGATATTGTTCTGGCTAACATACACCGATCTCTAATAGGATAATATTGACTGATTTATTGGTCTAGCTTTATTCTGTATGTCGTGGTACAATGGTGAATTTGGATAAAAGTGGCTGACTTGGTGAGGGATCGTCTTTGTCCTCTCTGGTGACGGTGTAACCGAAATTGTGTTTCTCTCTTCTCTCTCCCTGATTAATCTCCAGCTATAGGCAGCAATGGGTGCATTCCTGGACAAGCCGAAGACGGAGAAGCATAGTGCCCACGGTGAGGGCAATGGGCTGCGCTATGGCCTGAGCTCCATGCAGGGCTGGCGGGTGGAGATGGAGGATGCCCACACAGCTGTGGTGGGCCTCCCCCATGGACTCACCGACTGGTCCTTCTTTGCTGTCTATGATGGTCACGCAGGCTCCCGGGTGGCCAACTACTGCTCCGGCCACTTGCTGGAACACATCTTGTCAGGAGGGGCCGACTTCAGTTCCGGATCTGGCTCCGTGGAGGGCGTGAAGGACGGCATCCGCTCGGGCTTCCTGAACATTGACGAGTACATGCGTAGCTTCTCTGACCTGCGGCAGGGCCTGGACCGCAGTGGATCAACAGCAGTGTGCGTGTTGGTCAGCCCGACCCACCTCTACTTCATTAACTGCGGCGACTCGCGCGCCGTGCTGAGTCGAGACACCAAGGTGGGCTTCTCCACCCAGGACCACAAGCCCTGCAACCCCCGCGAAAAGGAGCGCATCCAGAACGCTGGCGGCTCAGTCATGATCCAGAGGGTAAACGGCTCCCTGGCTGTGTCCCGGGCCCTGGGGGACTACGACTATAAATGTGTGGATGGTAAGGGCCCTACGGAGCAGCTGGTGAGTCCTGAGCCTGAGGTGTGTGTGTTGGAGCGGGCGGCCGAAGGAGACGAGTTTGTGGTGCTGGCATGTGATGGAATCTGGGATGTCATGTCCAACGAGGAGCTGTGTGAGTTTGTCCGCTCACGACTCCTGGTGTGTGATGACCTGGAGAAGGTCTGTAACTCAGTGGTGGACACCTGTCTGCATAAGGTAAGCTTTCATTTCACACATGTGAGGTACATAAGAGGGGAAAGTGTAAACATGGTTACCTGCTTTAACTTGAAAGTTAAATTGTTAAAATCCAATGTGGTACATGTGACAGAGCTGCCTTACAAGTAGGACTAGAGAGTTCGACAGATTATTATGACGGGGATTCTGCTGGTTGTTACTGATATTAAAACAAATAAATTGTTAAATTGCCCCTGCAGACATGTTTTAATACTACTACTATTTTATTCAACATGGTTTCCCTATATAATAGTTAAAACAGTCTCAAAAGGGGCTAGAAGCAGATCTGCCCTTTATCCCTCATTGAGAAATTGTGGATCTGGCTTCCGCCTCGCCCACCACAACGACTCGACTAGGTATAACTGCAGCTGGAGCAGCTTTGTGACCCACCCTCTAGCTACATGACTCGCCCATTATGCCTACACATCAGGCCAGGATCGCCCCTTTGGCCCGAAAATGGAAGCCCCACCAAAAAATGCTAAGCTAGCGATTAGCTAGCTATGAAGTATTAGGTTAAAAGAGAGGCTGTTAAGGGTAGGGTAAGGCTACAACTCATTACTAAAAAGTGAATCGCGTCTTCATGTATTACGAATCATAAAGTGGATTATTGCGACATTTGGCTTCATATTTCACGACAGTGTTGCGTTGTTGCAGGGTTCAGATGTGCGTCACTGGGTTTGTCTTGTACTAGTGGTGGGCACGGTTTGTAGGGGCATGTCGTGTACCCTACCAACAAATTGTGTCTGCAGCTATACATGTCTCCTGCTGCTTGCAGTAGGTTTCACTTTCTCCAGTGCTGCTCGAGCGAGGTTGATATCATGCAACACGATGGCAAGCATTAGCGTTCGAAGAAACAGCCGTACATATTAGACCCAGACTCGGATGAGCAGTCTGTTGTGCACCAAAATCGGCGACTAGCAGACGTGTCAAAATGGTGGAAAGTGCAGTTAGCATCATATATTTGTTTATGTTGTGTGTTAGCTTGTTAGCTTGTGGGCTGCCTTGCAGTGGCTGACACAGTTATGGTTGTTAATAGTTGTGAAACATGCAATTATATCTGCTACGATGGGGTTTAGGTAGATAGTGGCTAGGATAGGAAGCTTCAGGATAAAACTGCACTCTCTACCATGTTTGCTGTCAAAACTTTCACTATGTTTTTTTTAATTAATCATTTTTCAAATATAACAGTACAATGTTCATATACATATTTCATTATATAACATTGAAAAATGATCTCAGTATCGCATGTCAAACAGCAAAATCAAATGTAAAAGAAAAGACAAAAAATTGATGCATAACATGAAATAGTATGAGGGAGATGATAACCTAGGTATAATACACCTTTTTTGTTTTGATTAAATATTATTTTACCAATTATTTGAGAGGTTGTAATAGCTTTTTTTATTTGTTGTTATCTAAACAGAGGCAAAGAGATATTGTAGTTCAACAACTCTGCTCTCAGTACTGACCTGATCTGCTGATCTGCACTGGAGGTTTCAGGTTTTTTTGCTGGTGTTGTGTCGAAGTCTGTTCGGTCAATATGTGTTTCCTGTATTAGACAGCGATTTTTCGTGTTAGTGACGTACCTAATCTAGCTTGCTGGGTGTATGTTTGAGTCTCAGATTTTAGGGAAGTGCGCAGACACTGCTCCCTTCAATGGAAAAATGTAAAAACATCTCTCGACTGATAATGTAAATAATAATGAAAATTATAAAATAAGTCTATCATAAAAAAACCACATCAGAAGTTTACAAAATGATGTGGTTGTTCAGTAAAACTTAACTCATCTGTGAGAGATCATATAAATCAGGTGATGAATAATGCATCATTGCTCTCACTTCTGTCCCTGCTCATTGCTTCTCAACTATCGATCCAAGAAAAAGCAAGAATCACTTTTTTCCTCAGCTGAACTTGTCCACCACTCGGTCCACATCTTGGACTTTTTGCCTCCTGTGTATCATCTATTTTGTCTGAGTACTCCAAGAACCAGCAAGTGCACAGCAGCCTAGTTATTTTTACCTTCCTAGATGGGTTATCTCAAGTAACAGCCACACGCTGTCATAAATCACCTCTGCTGCCACTGCCTTTTGTGATGTATGTGACACTGTACACTTACAGAAAGTTACTCTGACCACGTTGACTTTTACAAGGTAATGACAAGGTGACTATCCACTGGTTTAAGGCCAGATCTGTGTCTTGTTTATAGGCTAACTGTCTATGTGTCCTATAAATGCCAGTTAATATGCTGTCCAGTGTGCTTGAGTTGTTTATGAATAAAGATCTTAGAGCTGGAGTGATTTGTCGATTAACAGAGAATTAATCTCTTAAAATGCATCCAACGTACTCTGACTGTTAAAAATCCTTTATTAATACATGGATATCCAACACGTTTCGACTGGAGAGTCTTCATCAGAGTCGTTGTCAGAGAATTTATCACCTTTTTCTTTAAGCAGAAATGCCAAATATTTGCCAATGCTAGTTTTCCTGTAAGCCTTTTCTGCTTTTCTTTGTCCCATTTGATCCTAAATTAAAGATTTTGGACGACCGATCTGACAAAATAAATGTGAAGATGTCCCCTTGTGCTCTGGCAAAATGTGATGGACACTGGTCACCATTTTCAAAATGTTTCATAGACCAAAATCAAAGTAATCGTCAAGTTAATCATTAATTTAAGTGGTTGGAATTATCCTCCAGTAACTCTGTGTCTAAAAGGTACAAGTTTTTATCGGCAACATGTCAAACTGTTTATTACGAGGTTGTTTTTCCATCATTTTTCTGTATTGAAGAAAATTTTGAGAACATGCTGTTAGCTTGTCTGCTGCCGTCTCCAGGTCACAAACTATCCGTCTATTATTATTGTAGAAACAGTTTTCCGTAAAAGATCAAGAAAGACACACTTTCTTAAAGATGCCTTTTGGAGTTTTCTTGTGAACAGACGTTATATTAACATTCAGTGTTTCTCATTCTGTGTGTCCTTGAGGTTTAACAAACATGTTGAATACATTTCCTTTTGTAAAGCTTTTTTTTTTTTTTTAACATTTTGGGACCTGCATTGTTTACATCCATGTTTACTTGCTTCTGTCTTTGCTGACGCATTACTGCATATCTGGGCTATGACTGCCATTTGTAGGCCAGGGATGTTCCTGGCGACTAATTTCCCTGTGGACTAAACAAAAATTTTAATTAAGACTAGTCGACTAGTCTAAGAAAAGGAAAACGCTCAGAAAACAGTCAAAATTTAGCACAATTTACTGTTAAGTATTTGAAATATTGTCCCAAAAAATATTGTGTGCATTAAGAGCCCTTTGAAGCCTTTAATCACAATCCTCAACAACCATGTCGGATTTTAAAGACGCTGAAGTATGAGACACTTTGCGCCGAACATGCTACCTTGTTTTCATTTTCTACATCAAAGAACTGCCAAACCGCGCTGGTTTTGTGAGAGAACATCTTTCTTATTTCCCACCGTGCTGTTATAAAACGCCAGTCTATTCGAGCATTACCGCGGGGAGGGGGACTGCTGTCTGACGGCTCTGTAGCACCCACTGGTGGCAGGCGGCTGCATGACAGTTAAGCTGCCTTGTACATGAATAAAACACTAATTGGTTTAACCGACTAATATTTCTGGTGCTGACTAGCGAGGGGGCGGACGTTTAATCGTCTAATTGCGCGCATCCCTATTGTAGACCTGTAGAATGAGGTGAATCCATTGGCAGAAGGGGTGGGCGATTTGGCCCTGAAGTAGTATCACGATATTTGAGGGTATATTTGCGATAACGATATTCTTGATGGTATGACAAGCTAGTAAAAAAAAAAAAAAAAGAAGTTATTTTGCAGTTTGCCTTCAAATATTCAGTAAAAACTAAAATGATCTCATTTCTTTAGTTTGTGAACAACAGCAGTAATTCAGTGTGAGATTCAGATTCTGTATACAATATTAACAGTTCAACAGAATAAAATCTACCGCAAATTACACATTTAAACAGCTCCCAAATACAAAAAATGTCCCCTGGGATCGACATATATATATATATACAGTACAGGCCAAAAGTTTGGACACACCTTCTCATTCAATGCGTTTTCTTTATTTTCATGACTATTTACATTGTAGATTCTCACTGAAGGCATCAAAACTATGAATGAACACATGTGGAGTTATGTACTTAACAAAAAAAGGTGAAATAACTGAAAACATGTTTTATATTCTAGTTTCTTCAAAATAGCCACCCTTTGCTCTGATTACTGCTTTGCACACTCTTGGCATTCTCTTGATGAGCTTCAAGAGGTAGTCACCTGAAATGGTTTCCACTTCACAGGTGTGCCTTATCAGGGTTAATTAGTGGAATTTCTTGCTTTATCAATGGGGTTGGGACCATCAGTTGTGTTGTGCAGAAGTCAGGTTAACACACAGCCGACAGCCCTATTGGACAACTGTTAAAATTCATATTATGGCAAGAACTAATCAGCTAACTAAAGAAAAACGAGTGGCCATCATTACTGTAAGAAATGAAGGTCAGTCAGTCCGGAAAATTGCAAAAACTTTAAATGTGTCCCCAAGTGGAGTCGCAAAAACCATCAAGCGCTACAACGAAACTGGCACACATGAGGACCGACCCAGGAAAGGAAGACCAAGAGTCACCTCTGCTTCTGAGGATAAGTTCATCCGAGTCACCAGCCTCAGAAATCGCAAGTTAACAGCAGCTCAGATCAGAGACCAGATGAATGCCACACAGAGTTCTAGCAGCAGACCCGTCTCTAGAACAACTCTTAAGAGGAGACTGCGCTAATCAGGCCTTCATGGTCAAATAGCTGCTAGGAAACCACTGCTAAGGAGAGGCAACAAGCAGAAGAGATTTGTTTGGGCCAAGAAACACAAGGAATGGACATTAGACCAGTGGAAATCTGTGCTTTGGTCTGATGAGTCCAAATTTGAGATCTTTGGTTCCAACCGCCGTGTCTTTGTGAGACGCAGAAAAGGTGAACGGATGGATTCCACATGCCTGGTTCCCACTGTGAAGCATGGAGGAGGAGGTGTGATGGTGTGGGGGTGTTTTGCTGGTGACACTGTTGGGGATTTATTCAAAATTGAAGGCACACTGAACCAGCATGGCTACCACAGCATCCTGCAGCGACATGCCATCCCATCCGGTTTGCGTTTAGTTGGACGATCATTTATTTTTCAACAGGACAATGACCCCAAACACACCTCCAGGCTGTGTAAGGGCTATTTGACCAAGAAGGAGAGTGATGGAGTGCTGCGGCAGATGACCTGGCCTCCACAGTCACCGGACCTGAACCCAATCTAGATGGTTTGGGGTGAGCTGGACCGCAGAGTGAAGGCAAAGGGGCCAACAAGTGCTAAACACCTCTGGGAACTCCTTCAAGACTGTTGGAAAACCATTTCAGGTGACTACCTCTTGAAGCTCATGGAGAGAATGCCAAGAGTGTGCAAAGCAGTAATCAGAGCAAAGGGTGGCTATTTTGAAGAAACTAGAATATAAAACATGTTTTCAGTTATTTCACCTTTTTTTGTTAAGTACATAACTCCACATGTGTTCATTCATAGTTTTGATGCCTTCAGTGAGAATCTACAATTTAAATAGTCATGAAAATAAAGAAAACGCATTGAATGAGAAGGTGTGTCCAAACTTTTGACCTGTACTGTATATATATATATATATATATATATATCAACAGGTGATTTCCCTCTTTTTCCACCTGGACCTTTATGCTCTGCCATTTCTCCTCTAATCATCACGCTGTAACCTGTGACAGGCTGTTATGATACTACAACTATCACACATTCACATATATGGAGTTTTTGATCAAGCAGCGAGCGTCACGTAGGTTTACATTACCAAAGGTTTATGACAAAATCACTTGACAACACCGAGAGGAGAGGGAGAGACACTGTGCTGCTGCCAGAGGAGCCGCTGAATGAGTTCCCTCTGAGCGATAACCCACTAAAAGAGTCTGAGAAGTCCGGGGCTGTTCATAAAACATTCAGGATGCCACAGTTTATTCCACACTACTGAGGCGGCTGCTCTTTCTGGAACCACTGCGAGTTGCTAATAATTTTGCTTTCAGCTATGCTTGTTGTTGCCGTGGGTAACACACTCCCAATTGTCAGGACTGTGAATTGCATCAACCATGTGCTCAAACAAAACAGTGACCCACTCATTGAAAAACTGCTCCTTAGTGCTGCTAGAGGTGTTGTGAAGAAAGTTTATTTCAGCTTTGGCTGGCATTTCATTATCTGATTTATTTGGTCTTTTTTAAACTTAAATATGAATACCTGTATGAGTCCAATAGATACCAACCTATGTTACTGTCAGCTACTCTCACTTCTTACATACACTGTTCTGGATACTCTGCACTGGAAAGCTTTGATTGTTTGTTAAAATAAAAACACTGCTGGCTATATGCTTTTGATTCACATTGATAGGGAAAGCCTTGAAATTCTTTTTAAACAGTACGTAGGAACATTACGCTGGTTTTTAGGGTTGTGATACAGCTGGGATCACATTCTAAAAAGAGCGATAGAATATCCCTGATGTCCTACACAGATTTAATTTGTTCTGTCTGTGCCTGTCCTCGTCCTGCAGGGGAGCAGGGACAATATGAGTGTGGTGCTGGTGTGTTTACCCGGAGCTCCCAAGATCTCAGAGGAGGCTGTGAAGAAAGAAGAGGAATTGGATAAGTACCTGGAGACCCGTGTTGAGGGTCAGCACACGCAACACACGCACACACATACAAACATAATAGACAATGTATTTGTTATAATAACCAGTTAAGGTACAGTTAATCTAAACTTAGAGTCAAGGAGATTTAAAAATGCCGTGGTCTTGATAGTTTCTGTATTAGTTTCAGTGTATATCTGACTGTTTTCCTGCTGTTTAAACTATCACTGTCTGATATGCTGTGTTTGGTGTATTGTTATTTTAAACATTTATGTGCTCAGTGGTAGTTAAATGCCCACACTGTTCTTTGGGCCCAGCAGTCTTTCAGTGCCTTCTTCAAAAATGTTTTTTAAAAAGGTTAAGTGAAACAAGAGGCCACATACTGTGCTCAGTTTCTGTTTACATAACCAGGGCAAAATAAACATTCTTTAGGTAATACAAATATTTGAAATCAGTCTGACACACACACACACACACACACACACACTCACACACTCGCAGTGATTTTTCCACTACTATGTGTGATTTCTCAGCCTCTGTAGAAAGAGGTAGTGGTTTACAATACATATATTGTATTGTAACATGATCTCTCACAAACCCCTTGTCCTCTTTGTGTTTGTGTGCAGAGTTACTGGGGAACTGCGGGGAGGGGGGAGTCCCTGACCTGGTGTCGGTCCTGAGGAGCATTGCCACAGAGAACATCCCCAACCTTCCACCTGGCGGAGGCCTGGCCAGCAAGTAAATACACAGCCTGGAACAACATGCAGCTGCATTTTACACACAGAACATATCGTTTAATATTATTGGATGACACAAAACATGATTTTGTTATGGCTTGGAAACTTGTAAAATTCATAACTTACCACCGAGATACTGTATCCTAATGTGCGGAGTGTGGATACCCAACAACCCGACAACAAATCAAGAATTTTGCTTGGGTTCGGTCCACTTGACATGCTGCTGTGTTGTACTATGGCCTATTCAAGTGCTGGACTTGTTATTTATGTTTGTTATTTTACGCCTGAACGCAACACAGGCTCCGCTCCAGTTGAGTGTGTGTGCTGTGCCATGCTGCGTTTCTGTGCGAGCGGTGTGTTTGACTGTGCGTAACAGTCGGGTTGAAGGTCAAGGTCAAGGTCAAATTTATTTATATAGCACATTTAAAAACAACCAGAGTTGACCAACGTGCTTCACAAGCATAAAAGAAACTAACAAAATACAGAAACACAGGGCAAACAAACAAAAACAATATGTGGAGTCGAGATGTCAAAGATCAGCCCACATTAAAAGCCAAAGGAAAAAAGGTACGTCTTTAGTAAAGTGTTGAAAGATTCAGTGGTCTGAGCAGTTCTTATCTGCATGGGTAAACTACTCCAAAGGTTAGGAGCAGCCACAGAAAAAGCTTGGTGACCTCTGTTGTTCGGACTTAAAAATCAGAAAGTCTGTCGGGAGTCAGGCCGGGCTCGGTTATAATTGTCTCGAACTCGGGTGCGGTCAGGAAAATGCGCCCCGAGTCTTGCTCTACTATTGTGCACACAAGTCAAAAATTTTTTCAACATAGTTCGAAATGACTTGAAAAAGTGATATGAGAGATCAGCCAAAACATTAAAACCACTGCCAGTTGAAGTGAATAATATTGCTCATTTTGTTACAATACAATGTTGTGCTGGGAAACCTTTGGTCCTTCCATTCATGTGGATGTCACTTGACACACTACACCCATCCAAATGACATTACCGATCAAGTACACCCTATTGGCAATTGCACTCCCTGATGGCAGTTGCACCATGCCACACCACAAAAACTGCTCAGGAATGGCGGGGCAGACATGACTATGCTCAAGGTGTCAACCTGGCCTCCAAAATCCATTGGGCATACCGGTACCTTGCCCCACAACTCACAGGACTCAAAGGATCCGTCAACAACGCCTTGGTGCCAGACAACACAGGACACCCCCAGAGGTCCAGTCTCCATGCCTCGACAGGTCAGAGGCTCCACTTTAGATCGGACTTGGCTCTGACCCGTCGAGGCCTGGACAAAGGACCTCTGAGGTACTGGTTTGTCCTGCAGATGCTCGATCAGATTGGGATCTGGGGAATTTGAACGCCAGGTCGATGTCTTGAGATCTTTGTCACATTCCTAGGGCCATTCCTGAGCAGTTTTTGTGGTGTGGCAAGGTGCCCTGCCATGCTGAGGGGTTACTGTCATTGGGAGTACTGCTGCAATCAGTAGGGGTACTTGGTCTATAACAGTGTTTAGGTGGGTGGAGTGCATAAAGGGGCATCCACATGAATGCCAGGACCAAAGGTTTCCCAGCAGAACATTGCATTGTGATGAAATGATCAATGTTATTCACTTCACCTGGCAGTGGTTTCAATGTTTCTGCAGTAATGACATTTTTCTGTGCTTTGGAGGTGTGTTCATGTGTTTGAGGTGGGAAAAATATTTTTTGTAACATAGGTCAGCATGTCACAGAGGCAAGACTGTAGAATCAAATGGCCACAGTTTGGAGGGGCTGCCGCCGCTTTCCATAGCCGATGCACGGCAGCTCGATACAGACTGCACTTCGCCGCTGCATGGTGTGTTTTCGACATAGAGTATATCTTTGGATTTAGGTCTGTTTGTCAGACTAAAAAGGCAATTTGAAGATGTCACCTTAATCTTAGGGAAATTTGATATGTATTTTAAACAGTGTACTGATGTTTTATAATTTATTACACAAGAATATAATCAGCAGATTAATTGATAATGTCAGTAATCGTCAGCTGCAGCCTCTGTCACACTGAGCCAAGCTTGGTCGCACACAGGCAGTTGCGTCCACTCCGACACACGTGCACTTAAAAACTCCCAAACGTGCAGATAACACTCCTCAAAACACTTACGAGTAGAGATTCATAAAGAGATTCTGTAGTCTCTTTATGCGCCAGTAGCGGATACTCAAATATCGACTGAATTGCTTTCTTAGTTCCATTAAAATTTTAATCAATACACATTTGCAGAGAATCAACGGAGACTGTTTGTGTTATATGGGGAGTCGTTCTCCTGTCTAAGCAGCGAGCTGTGTGTTGTTTGTGTTTGCAGACGGAGTGTGATCGAGGCGGTGTACAACAAGCTGAACCCTCACAGAGAAGAGGAAGGGGTGAGTCTTTCACTCTCTAAACCCCTCACCCCTCCCACCTTTCACCCCCACCTCAACATGACCTTGTAAACACACACCAGCCCAAACAAGGACACTCTTTTGTGTGTGTGTGTGTGTGTGTGTGTGAATGAACTTGATTTAAGTGTGAAAGAGGGTGGAGGATAGACTCAGCAGCATAACCTTTGCGAGCTCAGTGAAACTCATTGGACTGTACGTTGAAAAACATTGAAGAGGTGAAGTCAGATTAAATTTGTATTTATCGCTGAAATAGTGGATACTATACATGAAGAGATCACACTTGCGTATGTCATGGACCCATCTTCAACACAGATTCAGTGTGAGCACAGAGAAACTTTCCTCCTTCAACAGATTAATACAAAAAGTCTTCTATTGTAAAATGCTACACTTAAATCATTCTGCAGAGTGAGATAACAATAAGAACGACTTTTTGAGTACAGGGGGCTTTAATTGATAGGTTAAATACATTGTTCACAATGCTGATAGAGAGTGGATACCTGAAGCGTACAGAGTAAGTAAAATGTGTCCAAATAGCAAGGCAAAGTTACCTTTGTGAACGACTTTTATTGTCAAATATCTAACTCGAACTTCAGAATCAGGGCTCAAAGGCAAAACCCCAGTGCACTGCTTGTCCCTGCCACTTAGCGCTAACCCCTCTGTTTTGCATGTTCACATCTAAGGTAAGGGTGCTTTGATTCTCATTGTGACAGAAAGGTAGGGCGAAGTGTTAAGCGGGATTTATACTTCTGCGTCAAATCAACGATGCACCTACAGTAGGCTCTGCATCGATGTTGACCCTACACCGTACCCTATGCTGTAGTCTGACGTGCACCTCCCCAGAAATGTAACTACAAGTCGCGGCGACGCAGACCTCCTGTCTATTTCTGTAAGCTGAAACCATTTCCTTCAGTTGTTTTGTCAGTGAACCTTGTGAGTTGTAATGGAGCCGAAATTTGTAGTGTTACCTTTGTTAAATGTCCCTGTTGTTGCTGTTTATATGAGTAGAGGAAAAGTCAGCTAGCTGCCAGGCTAATTTGTACAATGTAAAATGCCATAGGCTCGTGCTAAAAAGATTAGCATGTTGTATTTGTGGGGAAAATGTGTCCAGCAACTTTGTGTTTAATGTGTGTTTTGAATCAATTAAACTTTACAGCACTTCACAGAAACCTCCGCCGCCGACTAGTGTTTTGGAAGTGTAATTGCAGAGTGACACAGACACACCACCACACAAGTATAAATGCTCACAATGGCGTTAGCCGTGTACGTAGGCCACGGCGTAGGCTCTGCCGCACAAGTATAAATCCCGCTTTAGGGCCACATGGCCCTCCAAACAGAGGATATTCTGAGGCAGACTCCAAAGCAAGTGTTATGAGAAATCAGCTGCACAAGCAACAAAAAAACCCCACAAATCTGTTTTCTTCATTGATGAAGATTTTAAAATTGCAATAACCATTATCTTATCATAGCTTGATGTTGTTTCAGTCAAGTATGGTTCTTTTCTTTAGAACAAGCGCGACAAAAGAAATTGTTAATATGCCGATATCTCGGTATGTTACATTGTTATTGCTGATTTGTGCATGTCAGTCCCAGATTTTGACACATTTCTATTTTGCATTTCCTCCCTTCAATGGCATATGACAACCGAAATTGAACTTAGGTCCAGCAGTGACCAGAGCATCGGAGCGGAGCGGGTGAAAATTTCCGCTCCCCGCTCGCAGACCTCTCACTTTTCGCCGCTCGTCCGCTCCGCTTGGTTCTGCGCATTCTTCGCTCAGCTCCACTCCATCATAAATTTTATCCCTCTCTACTCGCTCACCACTCCACTCAAAAAAACTGCATTGTACTACCCTAACCTGTAATCTTCTATTCACAAATAAAACATGAGTTTGGTAGATTCTCCGGGGAAGCCCTCTCCCCGCAATTAGGGACTGTTCTACACGGTACCGTTGTCGGCAGGGTGGAAATAAGTCAAAGTGTAGAGGAGACGGACCGGGTTAAGCGGCCGTCCTCCTGGGAAGCCCTCTCGCCTCTCCCCTCAGTTAGGGACCGTTCTCCAAGGTACCGCTGCTTCTCTTCTCAGTTTCTTTTCTGAAGTACACAGTAAACTCCATAGTTTTGAAAGAAAATAGTGTGGGTGTGCGCAGGTGCAAAGATGCATTCTGGGTGGGGCATGAGCAACTGGAGCGAAATTGGAGCGAGAGATAAGGCTCCGCTCAATCTTTATTAAAAAAAAAAAAAAATAGCCGCTCCTCGCTCAACACAAAATCCGTCCGCTCCGCTCACATGCTCTGGCAGTGATGTTGCTACACTTTTTACTGCTGCTCTAATATCAGTGCAGACTTGTAGGATAGGATCTTGGGTTGCTAACATCAGCCTACAGAGCAGATTCTGGCCTGGTAATGAAGCAGCATTTTTTCTTATTTGCTGACGTGCTTGATTGATTGTTTGCGTGAAACTCAAGCTGTGACAACGGCAAAAGGTTGCCTGTAGCCCAGGCAAGAGAAATCACCACAGCAGAAGACGGCATATACTGTTTATGTAAACGCCAGCATCAGTGACTACAGGTGATGTATCAGGGTCTTGAAGGGTTGTCCCATTTTAAAGGAGAAGACCTTAGTTACTACCCCTTGTAACTCTACTCCGAGGGGCAAGGTGGCACTCGAATAAGGAGGGGTAAAAATAAGAAATTGGATTGGGCCAAAATCTCTAAAAACCATACGTTGTCTAGGAGATAATATCACATCCATCACCTTAAAGAAATAGCTGTCAAGGCTAATGGAACTTTAGAAATGCATTTCTTATTCTAAAGAAGAGATCAGTGTCAGGTTTCAAACAGCCAGGGAGGGTCTGATGTGATGGTGAAGGTGTGTTTATGTATGAGGGCACGTGAGTTTATTTGTCATATTAATTTCAGTGGAGTCTTGACTTGCAGGCTCTTTTCTCTGGGCTGTGTGGGTGCTGACCAACCTCCCCCCTCCCTCTCTGTTACACCATACAGCGAATATCACAAAGGGTTTTTGGTCACAGGGTCAGAGGTAGCGTTTGCATGGGCTTGTCCGACTGGTGCAGCAGTGTCTCTGACATCGTCACGCTAGTGTGTGGTAGATATTTGATGTGAGTATTATGCCGCTGCTTGTTAGTGTATGTAAGTGTGCGTGTGTGTGTGTGTTTGACCATGGAGTGTGCCTGCAGAGTCTGACCCCTGGCGTGTCACCTCAGGCCTGTGCGGGGGGAGAGGAGGAGAGTGAGGAGGGAGGTGGCAGCACGGCGGCTCATCTGCTGGAGGCACTGCGGCAGTTCCGCCTGCACCACCGGGGGCAGTACCGCACGGTGCTGGAGGAGTCCCTGGCCGCCTACCACCTGCGGGGGGAGAGCGCTGCGGAGGGAGCAGGGGAGGGCAGGAGGACCTCCGACGACGACGACGATGACGGCCAGCAGCAGACTGCCTCCCCTCCCACTCCCCCCTCGCCCCCGCCCTCACCTGCCACTGCAGAGCTGGAGGCCAGCCCAGATGCACCCGCCCCTGATCCCTACTCTGACTGAGCACCCCGCCCGCATACCAACCCACCTGCCCACCCATCCGACCCCAGAGCTCTAGTCAGACGTGCTATGACCTCTCCTCCTCTTTCCTTCATCACAGAACTTGAATGGACACACCGGCCACTTCCTGCTTCATCACAGTCTGCAGCTACAGCCACTGTTGCCATTCATGAATATTTTAATAATGCAATGGAAATAAAAACGGCCCCTCTGTCTATTCAAGTTCTGTCTCCGAGCCACATATATACCTTCCTCCTAATGAGGACCCTTCCTTTTGTTTCCCCTGTCTTCTGACCACCTCCGCTTGGATTCCCAAACTTGCCAGCCACTTTTACAACCTGACCACACAGACTGATGTTTACAATAGAAGAGAATCAGTAACAAATCATTATTACATGCAAAAGTGGCTGGTGAAGCAAAAATGAACGTTGCTCTTCATTGCCTACATTTACCAGTATTGGCTTCTGGCTCATTTCCCACTTGACCCCCCCCTCCCCCCCCCCCCCCTCCCCTTCAGCCTCCACCCCCCCCCACACACACCTGCTTACAGTGGACGAACTGACAGAGAAAAGGAGCGGAGACCCTCTGAGCTGCAGCTGTGTTCAACACACTGCACTGTCTGCAGGCCTGCCCCATCTACAGACTCAGAACACACTCTTTTGCGTATATGTATGTATGCGTGTTTGTATGTCTGCATGAGTTTGAGTGATGGAGAAAGAGGCCAATCATCACTACTGAAATGTTTTCTGGTAGCGGGTGGTACTTGATTGTTAGCCCACTTATCGGCAAGTTTAGCAGTCTGGGTACTGAAAAACTGGGCAGTCTAACTCCACAGTAACTCTTTTATAGGTGGGTGTACACTTGTAGTTTGAGTGGCATTTCATTTAAATCATACCGTCACCACATATCCCAAATTCCATATCACTGCATTTTAGTACACTGCCTCACAGTCACCCACAAAGAGGTTAAATGTGTTTCAGGTTGTTGTTATTTAGGTGAATTTATATGTCAGTAACACTCAAGTATGCTAGTTCAAGGTGACTAAAGGGGCCATAAAAGTAACGTTTGTTTAAATTAAAACAAGTCTGTAGCCACTCTAGGAACCGTGTAAGGCTGTAATGTTCATAACTAAATTATTGCAGAGAAATCAGACCAGTGCTAGACGAAATGTCGTATTGTTTGCTGTTTGTACAGTGTGTCATTTTTTCTTAGACATACAGCATCTTGTTCAAATTTTGTGACATGGTTCGGCTTGTCAAGGTTAGCTGCAAACTGCTGTTAGCCAATCATAGCTAATAGTTCCATAGAGATCGCTCCATAGAACAGCTCAGGGAAGCAGCTGCGGTCTCCTCGTTAATGCTGGTTTGGGAGGTCAGACTGATTTATAATTGCCAAAACAACCAATAAGTCTTCATTCATAAAGTCCTTTCTCTTGTTAAACTGAAAAAAAAAAAAAGAGGTTGAAGACACTTCAGATGCAGCATGAATCTCACTCGTTTGTCGCGTTTGTTGAAATTTATTTTCAAGTGTAGCGTGGGCTCATTGTTGCCTGGGCAACCAGTGCAAATGTGAGACTTACGCTTTATCAGTAGTCAAACTGTGTTTTTCGCTTTTACAAAATAAAAGACTCAAAAGGGTGAAGACTAAATGGTTGAATGCCTTTGTGCAGGTTAACAACTTTTGGATTTTAAACGCGATCGAAGATGTGTTAGCATTATAGCGCTAGCTGTTTTTAGCTGAATACTAATGGCATCACTGGTAACGTGCTATTGTTAGCATTCGTCTCTGAGCACAGCTGCACTTAAAGGGATAGTTTGGATTTTTTTGAAGATTTATAAGGTACTTATCCATAGTCATTGTATTGCATACAGTAGGTGTCTGTCGGCATGCCTCCAGTTTGGAGAAGCAGACGGGAGTACTGCCACAGAAGCGAAACAGTGTACTGCTGTAGATGGGGACGTTAGCCAAACCCACCTAAGCCACCTAAAAAAATCAAAATCAATTTAAGTGTGCGATATATTAAGAATATTTTTGAACACTTTACCCTGCTGTCAGGGGGCGCTGAAGCCGTTGTGTCCATTCATGTTCTCTTTAAAGCCAAAGAGCTGCTGGTCTACCACTGCCTCAGTCGGTTAGTTTATGCATCATTGTGTGACTTTTGTGAATGTGAACTTATAAAACATTAATGTCACACAATAAGACAAACATGCTGTCCGTTCAAGGCAGCGTTAGACCAGCAACTCGCCTGTCCTGTGAGGTAAAACTACTGTTGTTTTTAATGCAGTCTGGCCTTGAAGAGAGCCATATAATGGCTTCAGTTCCCCCGTCGGAAATCGCTGTCTGACCGCAAAGTGAAGCTGTGAAAATAATTTCAACGTTGCAACACTTGAAATGATATTGACTTTTTTAGGTGGCTAAATTGCGTTTTTCTGCTGCCTGCATTCACAGCAGTATTGCTTTACTTAAGTGTCGGTACTCCTGCCTGCTTCTCCAAACTGGGGGCGACATGGGCTGCCATGGATCAGTATCTCGTACAACCTCACGTCAAAACACCTAAACTATCCCTTCAAGTAAAGCTGTTCTGACAAAGTCAGTCTTAGACAGATTAGAGTTGAACAGAGTCTAACTGTAGAGCTGAATCCGAGAAATTTAAGATGGGGAAAATGAAGTCAGTAGACGCGACGAACTGTCCAGCTTTAGGTAACAATGTGGCCTTTCTTTCGGCGACACCCTCAGGCTAACAGATTCAATGTGCGGCTTACATTACCTCCCTACAGTCATACTGCTAGCACGGCTGAAAATGTCCACTGTAGTCATTCTCACGTTTAGCACCTGTGCCATCGATTACACCTGGAATCAGTGTCTTTTATACGAGATGACTGTGTGAGCATCAGAGTAAAGCAGATCTCCAGTGCTCTTGCTGACAGCCGCTGGTAGTAACTGCGGCAGGATGTGTTTCAGCTTGATAAAATCCCACACGCAGTATATTTAATTCCTCACAGGTTATGACATCGTCTGTTCTGAACACAATCTGGAACTCTCCCCTCATTGTGAAAGTTTGATTCGAACAGACTGAACCTACAGCGTTCATTCTTCTCTGAAAGCAGGTAGAGGGTTATTGTAAGTCTATATAAAGCCCAGTACCCAGTGACCCTGGTAATGCATGCACTGCACTTATCTTTTCAATATCTAAGGCACTTAACTATCGGAGGGGAGGTTATGCTAAACACTCCGCGTATGTATGTCTGTATGTGTGTTTGTGTATGTATGAGTTGCATTTGTATGCGGTTACGTGGGCCAAATCAGTCCCACCCACACAGTTAAAATGACAAATGAACAAATAAAAATGATTTGAGGTATAATGCCATGATTTGTGTCAAGTTTGTGAGTATTTCTGGATGTAATCTGACTGTACAGATATGTTTCTTGTCTTCTGGTCCTGTCAAATGTGTCATACCTTGCAAATGTGTAGGTTAGGGGAACAAAAAAGCAGGAAAAGTCATATTTTCCCTTTTTAAATTGGCTTGCATGTCACCAAAAATCATGAGAATTGCTGTCACAGCCTGAGGTAAAGTGGTAGCATTTGACACAGGACCATTCCCTGAAACTTGTAGTGGAATTTTTCAGTGTTTCTACCATATTTAATGTGTTGTATATGTTTCTGTGTAGGCTGTGAAGTTTCCAGCTCGAGCAGAAAATATACCCTCACCTTCCTTGCCCTCCCCTGTCAGCTTTTAGCTCCAGCCTCGACTCGTAATTTCATCTCAGCAGCTCAAAGACGTTTTAATCTGTCGTCTCCTTTAAAACAATAGCAGCAAAACTAAACGCCTGCCGCTGCGTTGCATGAGCTGGCGGCGACGAGCGGAGGGGGAGCTGCGTAGACTATAGGGACTCCATTCTCTCCATTTCTCCCCTGTTTTTCAGTCTGACAGTTGGCCTCGTGATTCTCCGCAAGGTGAGTCATCAGAGGTCTGGGTTCTGGTTGTGTTAACATACAGGCTGGGCAGGGGAATAATGTCATTGTCTTTCACCATTATCCATTCAGTCTGAGTAGATAAACGAGGGCAGTGAGGTTCAACATTATTTAAGGCATCAGGAGCTGTATCTTAAAACTACTGTGTGCTCCGGAAGATGCAGGAAAAAAATCCCTAACACACCTCTCTCCATCTCTTTCTCCTTTTTACTCACCCAGAGCGCCGGTGAGCTGGAAGACCCCTGGTAGCCTTGGCAACGACCCCTGTCTCCTCCTGGTGATCGGTGCATCCGCCCCGAGGAGGAGTGTCTCTCCATTGCGCCATGTCTTTCTCCACTAAAAAGAGGACATGTGGTGTGTGTTGGAGTGCGTGAGTGTGCGTATGTTGGTTGTGCATGTGTGTGTGTGTGTGTGTGTGTGTGTGCAGCAGTGGGACAAAGACAACGACGACAACAACTACACACACGCATACTGCTTTAAACCTGGAGGAAAACAAAAAATCACTTTTCAGAAATGTCAAGATTTTATGAACTGAAACATTGTGATGGTAGAGATGATTTTTACCATTGAGGTGTTTTTTTTTCTTTTCTTGAATGTTGACATCGAACTCCTGACTTCACAATGACGTAAGGACCTATAGCGTGCGCGTATGTTTGTGTGTGCGAGAGAGAGTTTGTGTGTGAGAGTGTTTTGAGGAGGGCCAAGAGAAGACAGACGGTGCATAAAGACTTTGTATGTAATTCTTCTTCTCCTGGACTTTTTTTTTTTTTTTTTTTTTTTTTTTGTGCTCCTGAGTCTGATATTTGCCTAACACCTTTGCTTCTCCCCTCTTAAAAAAAGACACACACACTCTCTCTAACACACACAGACACATCATTTAAAAAAAAACAAAAAAAACAAAACATAAACACCCCCCCTCCCACCCTCACTTCCACCTGTGCACGTATGTGATGTGCCACCTTCGCAGGGCACTGCATGAGGACTTTGGTTCTACATGTACAGCTACGTGGTTTTCTAGTCGACCCGGATGGACAGCCATTGGTTGAGACTGACTGAACCCGAAGGCTGATTGGCTCCTGCCGTGTGAGAAGTGGAAATGATTTGGATTTTTTTAATTTTTTTTTTTTGTTGTTGTTGTTGATACTATTAGGATAATGACGATGATAATCATGATGGGGAAAAATGGGAGGTTATCTAGTTCACTGAAGAGCCGAGTGCAAGTTGGACTCATGGAGGCGGGGTGGTGGGTCGGGTGGGGGGTTTTGGGGGGGGGGCGGGCGGGGCTGTTGTATCACTGGTTGGACTTAGGGCAGGAGGGTGGTGGGTCAAACGGGCTTCCCCACCTCCCTCCCCACCATCATGGTTGGAAGTACACATGACGGCGGACTGTCCTGACAGAGGAAAGTTTTTTTTTTTTTTTTTTTTTTAATGTTGTCCATGAGGTTACTAGCTGCTCGCTATGTAGAGTGAGTGAACTCCCTGTTTTAACCCTGTTCCTGGTTCTCAGACTGCATTGGTAATGTTTGTATTGCTGTTGTTTGATTGCACTCACATTTGATTACAGAAAGCGTCTATATATGAAATAAAATACCTGCCAAGGATCCAGTGGTGACTGCGTATTTTCATGAGAGGCCGTGTCATCTCTGGGTGTTTGTGATAGTCTGTGTGGCCTTTTCCTTTTCTACTTTCAGACACCGGTATCACGAAGCGAGACTGGTCAGCACCCTGACCATAGACTGTTGACGTCACCCATTGGTTTGTGGACTACCGTTGTGAAACAAGGACGTATTAAGGTGCAGACGCATCAAACAGACATTCAAGAACTAGAAGCCGACTCTTGCAGTGCGTCATGCTGGCTGTGTCTGGGCCAAAAAATGTAACTTAAACGCATTGCAGAGATTACAGCCAACGGCAAAGTAGCTATATTGTGCGCGCATGAGGGGAAATAACTTTCCTCACCAGCAGGTGGCGGTATGTTCCCGTCAACTCATTTCCTTGTCGACTAAACAAAAGACTAGTCAGCTAGTCTAATAAAAGGAATTGTGTGCATTAAGAGCCCTTTGAATCCTTTAATCACAATCTTCAATGACCATGTCGGATTTTAAATACCGCTGAAGTACGAGAGACTTGGCGCTGTGCGGTATGAATGTGAACATGACGGCAACTCAAAAGTTAACCACTAAATTAGCATCTAAAATAAGTAAACTGCCTCTGAAATGTGGGGCACATTGAACATTGCAGATCATCCGACAGAAAGGATAGTAATCCACTTTAAAGTTAATAAAACATCTAAATTATAATTAAATTTCAGTCTAAATGAGAGGCATTTTGCACCGTGCTGTATGAATGTAAACCTGCACATTATCTGAGTTGAATGTGGTTGCACATTGCTCCAGTCAAGTGATTATATTCCAGTTTTTTCTGGTGTCTGACAGCTCTGTAGCACCCACTAGTGGCGGGCAGCTACGTGACAGTTAAGCAGCCTTGTACCTGAATAAAACACTAATTGGTTTAACCGACTTATATTTCTGGGGCCGACTAGCGAGGGGGCGGACGTTTAATCATTTTGGCGACTAATCGCGCGCATCCCTAGTCTGTGTCTGTCATTCAAAAAGGGAAATTGAAGACCGACAGGATGGATCTCTTCACACCTGGATTACTGCAACAGACTCTTTTCTTGCCTGAATCAAAAACCTACTGACTCCAGAATGTTCAGAATTCTGCTTTGGTGCAAATGAAAGTGACAACAGGTGCAATGGAGAGGCAAAATCAAGACAACCCCGAAAAAGGGAATGGTTTTACATGTGGTGTCCACAGACAGTTGCTCTCTCCTTATCCTTCCTGACTGATTCGTCTCTAGTTTTGTGTTCTGCTAGTGTCCTTGTCACTACTGGTAGCATGAGGCGGCACCTGCAGCCCAATCAGGTTGCACAGGTAGTCCAGCTCCTCCAGGATGGCATATCTATATGTGTGGTCGCAAGAAGGTTTGCAGTGTCTCCCAGCACAGTCTTAAGAGCATGAAGGAGATACCAGCAGATCGGCCATTACACGAGGAGAGCTGGACAGGGCCGTAGAATAACATTAACCCAGCAGCAGGACCGGTATCTGCTCCTTTGTGTGAGGAGGAACAGGAGGAGTTCTGCCAGAGCCTTACAAAATGACCTCCAGCAGGCTACTGGTGTGCATGTTTCTGACCACACTGTCAGAAACAGACTCCATGAGGGTGGCATGAGGGCCTGACGTCCTCGAGTGGGACCTGTGCTCACAGCCCAGCACCGTGCAGCTCGATTGGCATTCATCAGAGAACACCAGAATTGGCAGGTCTGCCATTGGCGCCCTGTTCTCTTCACAGATGAGAGCAGCTTTACACCGAGCACATGTGACAGGCGTGAAAGAGTCTGGAGACGCCGTGGTGAACGTTATGCTGCCTGTAACATAATCCAGCATGACCGGTTTGGTGGTGGGTCAGTGATGGTCTGGGGAGGCATATCCTTGGAGGGTTGCACAGACCTCCATGTCACAGCCAGCGGTACCGTGACTGCTGTTAGGTACCGGGATGAAATCCTGAGAGCGATTGTCATACTTTACGCTGGTGCAGTGGGCCTTAGGTTCCTCCTGGTGCAGTGGGCCTTAGGTTCCTCCTGGTGCAGTGGGCCCTGGGTTCCTCTTGGTGCAGTGGGCCCTGAGTTCTTCCTGGTGCAACGGGCCCTGGGTTCCTCCTGGTGCAGCA